CCGGACAGGCCTCCTCACAGGGGGTACCCCGGCCAGGCCTCCCTCACAGGGGGTACCCCGGACAGGCCTCCTCACAGGGGGTACCCCGGCCAGGCCTCCCTCACAGGGGGTACCCCGGACAGGCCTCCTCACAGGGGGTACCCCGGCCAGGCCTCCCTCACAGGGGGTACCCCGGACAGGCCTCCTCACAGGGGGTACCCCGGCCAGGCCTCCCTCACAGGGGGTACCCCGGACAGGCCTCCTCACAGGGGGTACCCCGGCCAGGACTCCCTTACATGGGGTACCCCGGACAGGCCTCCCTCACAGGGGGTACCCTGGACAGGCCTCCCTCACACGGGGTACCCCGGACAGGCCTCCTCACAGGGGGTACCCCGGCCAGGACTCCCTTACATGGGGTACCCCGGACAGGCCTCCCTCACAGGGGGTACCCTGGACAGGCCTCCCTCACACGGGGTACCCCGGACAGGCCTCCTCACAGGGGGTACCCCGGCCAGGACTCCCTTACATGGGGTACCCCGGACAGGCCTCCCTCACAGGGGGTACCCTGGACAGGCCTCCCTCACACGGGGTACCCCGGACACACACACACACACATGGCAACCCGGCCAGGCCTCCCTCACAGGGGGTACCCCGGACAGGCCTCCTCACAGGGGGTACCCCGGCCAGGACTCCCTTACATGGGGTACCCCGGACAGGCCTCCCTCACAGGGGGTACCCTGGACAGGCCTCCCTCACACGGGGTACCCCGGACAGGCCTCCTCACAGGGGGTACCCCGGCCAGGCCTCCCTCACAGGGGGTACCCCGGACAGGCCTCCCTCACACAGGGGTACACCGGACAGGCCTCCTCACAGGGGGTACCCCAGACAGGCCTCCTCACAGGGGGTACCCCGGACAGGCCTCCTCACAGGGGGTACCCCAGCCAGGCCTCCCTCACACGGGGTACCCCGGACAGGCCTCCTCACACGGGGTACCCCAGCCAGGCCTCCCTCACACGGGATCTGCACTCAGAGGTCTGCAGCTGGTGGCAGGCCCTGGAGGAAGAAGGCTGCTGGGGCTGGGAGTGAGGGGCCCAGCTGTCCTGCCCTGGGGCCACACCTGCCCCTGTCTGTCCTGCAGGGACACCTGTCCAGCCGCCTGACATGGGTCTGCCTCCCTCCCTCCCTCTCTCCGCTGCCCCTGTCCCCCTCCCCCAGGGAGCGGCCCCAGGCCCTGGAGGGTGGGGGAGCACCTGGGGCCTCCCAGCCCCCTTGGCTGCCCTGCTGTGCCCTGAGGTGGGGGCTGGAGGGGGGAAGGGCCTGGTGTGGGTCCAGCCTCCAGCCACCAGCCACTGTTTTCTCTCTCGCCCATCTAGGTCGGAACGAGCTGATCGCGCGCTATATTAAACTGAGGACGGGCAAGACCCGGACGAGAAAGCAGGTAGAGACTGTTGATGTGGAGGCCGCCCTGCCTGCACGCTCTCAGCCCCTCCGTCCCCATGCCCTGCCCCGAACCGCCCCGCCCTCTCTGGGCCACTTCACACCCCCTAGAGCTGCAGCGTCACTCACCACTGGCTTCTCTGACCACCCACCACCCACCTAAGACTTGTGGTTCAGTGACCGATGATACGGCCATGGGGCAGCCGTGGCAGCTCCATGGTCACTGCCCTGAGAGGCCCACTGACCAGTCAGGGGACAGACGGCTGGATGGACGTGCGCAGGGGTGTGCGCTGTGGGGCAAGCACCTAGCCCAGGCTGGGCAGGGGAGGGGAGGAGCGGAGCTGGGAAGGCTTCCTAAAGGGAAAGGATTTGCGGGCGGGAGAGGGAGGAGAGGGAGCGATTCTCCAGGCTGAGGAAGTCGGATACAGATGTAACTGTGAGTCCGTACAGAGCTACTTGCTATTACTTTCCTTGGTCCTCACAGCAGCCTGAGCGGCAGGTACAGCAGTTCCCTCCGTTTTACAGAGGAGGAAACTGAGGCACGGGGAAGTTAAGTAACTGCCTTGCTGGTAGGTGGTGGGTCCAGGGCTCAGCCACTAGGCAGGAAAGAGCCTTCAGT